TCCACTTCCGCCGATCAGGCTGAGGTGGTTTATCTAAAGAAAGAAAAGATTATGTATATGTGTGCCTCTTGTCAGAAAAAAACCCTCATTCTCTCATACGCCAGTTTTGATTGAAAGTCAGATTCCTGAAGTTGGCTTTCAAGATTTGAGGCCATGCTGGTCCCTTACTGGCAGGAGACCCTCATCCATTTCAAATTGAGAGTTTTCTGGCATGTAGAATTTTTAGGATGTGCGTTTGCTGCTCGAGAATCATCTCCTGCTTGGTGAGCATGTCCCGCATTAATGCTGAAAAAGAAATATGTAAAATATGACATCCACAAGAATTAAAAGTTGATGACTTTGGGGGTTTTTAGGTGATGAATTACATCATTTGGTTCTCATTCCTATAACAGAATGAAGCCATTTCATATAAAGTAGAGTTCAACTCTGTGTTTTAGGGATTTAGGTTGTTTTCACACCTAAATGTTTTATGTCCATTCAAGTGTATATTTGATAATGACAACGTTTGTATATGCTTTACACAAAGGTGTGTGTAAATTGACCATTGAACCAAATGTGTTCATTTTTAAAAAGATGAGGGAGGTGTCCCCTCCCCCCCTTTTTGTCCCCTTTCCTCCCAAACAAATGTTTTCTTTTTTAAACAGCGATGTACCACCACTAATAAATACATTCAGTATAAACTCAAAATTACATAAATGCTCTAGCACTTACAGGTTGTAGTTTCAAATAGGGCCTCATAACTCCAGGATGGCACAGGCTGAGGCTATGGATGAAAAAAAACGCTTTTAGCCAAACATAAATACTGAGTTACGGTAAGTTCAGCATCTACTGCCAGTCATTTGCATATTTACAGTGTAGACAGAGTTAGGTTACGTTTATCACTTCAGTGACTTAAACAAAGACATGTTCATTAGGAAAAGAAAATCCTTTGAAATCACGTTGAAACAGAAAATGTAACTGAATTATTTAACACATTGCAACTCTCTTACAGTCGACTCTTGCAAGTGTCTTGCTGCAGATGCCACTTTGTGAACTGTCTTGTGGCCTTCGGGTGAATGAATGTCCTTGTTTCTGGGGGAACTGGACAGCTTATGTTAACAGGACAGAGATAAATCAGAATTAATAAGAGTGCATTGCTGACAGAATACAAAACATTTTGACCACTGTTTGGATTCTTATAACTGTTATTTATATTTTTCTATATATATTTATATATCCAAGTGCAGTAAAAGTTGAATTATCCGTCTCTACATGTTTTTGTTAACATTTTAGTCACAATGTGAGATATACAACAAATTCTCTTACTGTCACCAACTCTTGATGCAGGCGTCTCGTGGCAGCTCCCATTATTTTGTGGCCTTAGCAGGGTCCATGAATTGGATTTTATTGGAGGTACCTGGACAGCTTAAATAGACAGATGTAACTTTAAACCATTGTTTTATTTTACCTGATCCCCGCAACCTGCACGACTCCTCTATCTGCTATAAGTAGGCTACAACTGACTCCAAATAAAAGCTAAAAGCTGTTGTAACACAACTTGTCATTCAAAACAAATCCTACATTTATGTAAAATTAGACAGAATTGAATTTTTTTTTAAATATTTAAGTCAACTTGCAGGTACCTGGAGGTGAATCTTGTGGCCTTTGATTTTCAGGATTTTGTGGCTCCTGAAAAGCTTTAGTTCACATGACAAACATGTTGAGGATGTTATAAAATAATGTCATAAGGAAAATAAAGATGGCCATATTTTGTCAATTAAAACATTAATCAAGACACGTGTTGAATAAACACTTACATTCAGCCGCCCCAAAGCCTTTGTTCAGCTCCTCTTGACTCCCACGAAAGACTCCCTCGTCATTGTTCAGCTCGTCTTGACTCCCACGAAAGACTCCCTCGTCATTGTTCAGCTCGTCTTGACTCCCACGAAAGACTCCCTAGTCTTTGTTCAGCTCGTCTTGACTCCCACAAAAGACTCCCTAGCCTTACTTCAGCTCGTCTTCATACGGCGAGGCTATGCAAACGCTGAAGCTAACGCTTCACTCAACCTCTAGTTAAATACTCCCTCGTTAGTGGAAGTCAAAACAGAGTTAGATCGGGTCAAACCTAGCAAAGTTAGGAGAGCACACTAGCAGTTAACTTAATAGCAGAGTCTACAACAACAACAACAACTGGCACAAAAGAAACGGCAAGAGCTAGAGCAAACTAGCAATCAAGTTAACTTCAAACAGAGAGAACTGGCAGTAAAAACGGCAAGAGCTAAAGCAATCAAATTAACTTAAAACACTAGAATAAACACATTTAGCAGACTAGCTTGGTTGAAAGAAAAGATACAGATTTCAGGTTGCCTGGATGTCTGATGGCCTTGTAGTCGAGATGCCCTGGTCAGAATAGGTTGATAACCTTAAACAAAAAGAATCAAAGGCTTTCCACAATAGTAATTTATCATTTAACACCATTCTTTATCACATTAAGTAAATACACAAGCAAATAAAATTCAAAGAAGTATTTCCATTACTTTCTTCATGTTGCTTGTACGCGGCTAACTGAATTACCGGATAATTTTCAGGATAAGAGCCCGTAGATTAGGCTTTTGGGTTCCCCGAAGCAGGTTTGGCTAAATCACCATAGCAACACATCGAAAAACTTCAACCTGCTCCAGCGCAGGTTCATTTGAGCCGGCTTGATTAGTTAGCGCGGATCAGCCTTTGAGGAACTGAGATAGCCAGATGTCAATCATCTCGTTAATTTGAGCTGGATAATGGGACATTTCATCAACAGGGCCCTGGTCAGACAAGATATGATTTTAGTCAATTAGTGGTTTATGTACCACTTTCTCTATGACTTTGGCCAGACAGAGCAAAATGGAATTATGCCTGTAGCAATTCGGTTCAGAGCTCCTTTAAAGAGCTACTGGCTGAAAATTCTTCTTTGAAACAACAGATTTTAGCTTTCCTGATTGCCTGTGTTGTTTGGTTCTGTAGGATATTAGAAATAAATTGACGACCCGGTTCATAAAATTAATAAAAATGCATATAGTGTACACCAGAATACAGCCATGATTCTGAAACTATGTAATCTATAAAGTAATGACAATATTGGAAAACCACTGTAATTCTGCAACTGTAATAGAATAATACCAATGCAGTTATGATTGTATTTGATGTAATGTAATCAACTGGAATGCATGCATGTAATACTTGCACAACAACTGATATTGACTAAGGGCCATTCAAAATCCGAGTTACATTGAACTCACCAGAAGACCACTCCCAGAGGTGTGGACACTAACTTTCACACCTTTAAGCATTGTTATAAATACCTGTAGGAACCATTGTTCTCGAGTTCGCTGGTGGAGACAACAGACGGGCACTAGGGATGGTCAAAAGGACTGACCTGGGGCCTGTTGGTTGCTGAGACCAGCGGCTCCTCAGCTGAGACGTTCTTTTTACCACAACACCATCTCTATATGATATCTACTTACTAGGAAAGTTGTAGACTGTTTTAATTGCTTTAAATATGATTTTTTTATCTGTTGGTTTTGTTGGCGTATCTGTGTTTATATGCTAAATGTGCAGGTTTTACTGTAACGTGTCTTTGAGTAGCCTACCATGTAAAGCACTACATAAATAAAATGTATTATAATTTAGCCTACTTTGCCTTAAAAGGGAGCAGAGGGAATTAATGTTCCTCTGGTCCTGTGTTTGGGTGAACATTTCCAGAGATGAACAACATGAGAATGATTAAAAAACATCTGAGGACAGTGCTAAAATGTTGCATATGGTTATCTTTCATTGACGGTTTGGTCAAAATGAAAGAGGAGGAGCTGTGAAACTGCTGCAATAACATGTAAGAGTACAAAGCTTTGTTACACACCAAGTAGGAAGTCCAAAAATCTGTAAACCATTAGGATGAAATGTCACCGGTTGATAAACTAAAGTCCAATGTACCTACACCATTGATGGTAGTCTCCTGTGGGTACCTGCTAGAAAGGCAGGTTGTATGAGCTGATATGATCCAGAAAATAGAAATGATTGTGAACCGAAAAGCCAGAAAGGAATTAAGTGGATGAAACATGAACCAATAGGTCAGGTTGAAGCGGGCCAGGCTCCAGCTAGCAGAGGAGGCTAGACTGTAGTAGATTCGGTTTGAGAATCGTCACACCTCTCCTGGGGCCTCCCTTAAACGAACTACTGTACAGATTTCTATAAACATATCTCTTTAGCTTGTCATGTTCTACTTTGTTAAGGTGAGTCTCCTGCAGATATATAATTTGGGCTCTATCCTTCTTCAGTTTTGTCATAACCCCATCCCTCTTCTTGGGGGTATTCAATCCATTAACATTAAGTGACACCAGTCTAACAGTTGTACCCATCTATTCCTAGATCAATAACCCTATTAAGCTTATTAATTGCCAGATGTGGGACAAAAAAACAATATTAAGATCGGTTTGACTACAATGTCTATGTTCACTCCTCCGTGGAGCAGAAAACCGGTACGCTTTAAGGTCCAGCGACATTTACTGCTTGTACATTCCACGAGTGCGGACTGAATTGGGGGAAAAAGCATTCAGTTTTGCCGCCCCATCAACATAGAACAATCTCCAGGCTGAACTGAAATTGCCTCAACTTGTATCTTTTAATGTTTTCCGACGTCTCCAAATGGACAGACAACAAAAATCTATTGAACGGTGCCTCTGCTTTTGACCATATTATCTTTGTATTTTAGTTTTTAACTTAATTTGTATTTTGGTTTTACTCATGTCACGTATATGTATTTTATGGCTGTTAAAATACATCATTTTAATGTATTTTAATTTTATGGCTGCTGCTTTCTTGGCCAGGTCGCCCTTGAAAATGAGATCTCGATCTCAATGGGACTTTTACCTGGTTAAATAAAGGTTAAATAAAAAAATAAATGTCGAGAATAAAATGGAGCTGGTGCTTTTATTTTGATGTTTGCGGTCGGAGGCTACATTGTACTTCCGCTCTGTCTGACTTGAACGCCCTGAGAGCGGAGATGTGTTCAGGTTGCAACGTTGTCACAGTTTGACCAGCGTCTTAGAAGCAGGAAGTGCAGCCATGGCGCAGGGACTGAGGGAAAGGTTCGAAAAGTTCCTTCGTCAGAAGAACCTCATGACGGACATTCTCGAAAAAATCGAGACCAAGACCGGAGTGAGCAGGACGTACATCGCTCTTGGTAAGTGCGATAGTAGCAGGGGGGACAGACAGGGGAGGGACGAGGACAGCGCATGGCGGGGCGCTGCCTCCTGTCATCCTGTAGCCAGACACGGGGGAGGCTGCGAAGCCCGGGCTGTGTGGAGCAGTGACCGGAGAGGCTGTGGTAAGAAGCCCGGGGTGAGTGGGGCAGAGACGGGAGAGGCTGTGGTAAGAAGCCCGGGCTGTGTGGGGCACAGACGGGAGGGCCTGTGCTATGAAGCCCGGGGTGAGTGGAGCAGTGACGGGAGAGGCTGTGGTAAGAAGCCCGGGGTGGGTGGAGCAGTGACGTAACATCTGCGGTGTGCTTTCTCTGCAGCTGTCGTCGGGATCATTGCAGTGTACTTGGTCGTCGGCTACGGAGCGTCCCTCCTGTGTAACCTCATCGGGTTCCTTTATCCAGCCTACATATCGTGAGTGTATTATTCTTAGAGCAAAGGAGGCGCCTGAGCAGCAACCGCGCCCAACACACACATGCGCACGCGCGCACACTCAAACATCATCGATGGAAACCGTTTAAATTATTTGTCTCTGTGTTGTGTACTAGTGCCACTAGTGCCAACAACTCACTTTCTTTTTTATTTGCAAGCAAAAAAGAAAAGGGAAAATCAATATAAAAAAATGATTTTATTTATATATATATATATATATATATATATATATATATATATATAAATAAATTATCCAAAATGTGGAGGGCAGCGGAGACGTAGCTACATTAGCACCTTGATGACCAACATTTCCTCCCAGTATGTTGGTGTTTGTCAGCATTGGTTGTTGGACTTTTAAAGCTGCTCTAGGAAAACAGCAGGATGTGTGTGACTGAAACAAACACACCTTTATACTGAGAAGAAATACTTTTGAGAAAGATTTCTACTGCAAACAAACGTCAAGGTCAAATGAACAGCTTAATAATGTTAATAGAAAGACAATAAGGGGCCTTGTTGGTGGTGGATAAACAGATTAAATCCATCCACATGACTGAGCAACAGTTAGAGCGGGTGACGTATTTTAAAATATCCATAAAGATGATTTTTGGTATGTGGAACAAACATGACTTTCAACAAGAAGACCAGTGTTGTTCACGTCAACTGTTCATAAATGTGATTATGTTGGGTTTTTTATCAAACCCAACTGATGATGGTTTTGTTGCTTAAATGAGACTTAAAGTCCAAACAAAACGGCATCCCAAATAAAAAAGTAGTGCAGAGGGACACAAAAAAACAAACAAATAGTACATGAAACTAGTGACTATTTGAGGAACCGCTGTGAGACTTGTCCATGCCGCTCAATACATGTATGTCAAACTGGGCTGGTGTATTACCGGGGCCCCACTGAGTACTGTATGTGGACAGTAAAAATGTTCAACATCATTTCCCTTTTGAATAAACAGTGAGATTTTTGGGGAGGCCAAGCAACACGTCCCGCTCCATACGTGTACAATTTTTTATGTTTCATGATTGTGAAAGTTGCTGATTGTGTTTTGGTGTTTGACCTTTTAGCCATTTTTATCCATGGCTTGCTCTCTCTAAATGCTGCGTTCAAACCAAAACGCTTTAACTGGTTGTTATTCTCACCGTAAAGGGTGCGTGGACAGTTACTATTTCCACTGTTTTAGAAATTACACAAACGTCGGAACCACAAACACCTTCGTGGTTGGTTTATTTGGCTCATTCGTACCGCTCGTTGAAGAATTGAGTCGTTTGCAACCTTTGCATGCATGCATGGAATTTACCCGCTCAAATGATTCGCTTTGCTTTTGGTGTGAACCAGCGTAAAGTGACGCTTTGGGTTAGAGGCGACGTATGAGTGATGTCAGGACACCAACCGACTACTCTGCCATTCAGGTCATTTTGATGACTTTAGAGAGAGACTGGAATGCGAGAGAAAAACAGACAGAAAAATGAAAATGAACAGAGGAGTAATGTTAACTTTATATATCTTTTCTCTTCCAGGATTAAGGCCATTGAAAGTGCTACCAAGGATGACGATACTAAATGGCTGACTTACTGGGTGGTTTATGGACTCTTCAGTGTGGCAGAGTTTTTTGCTGATCTCTTCCTCTCCTGGTTCCCATTCTACTACATCGGAAAGGTAATCCAGCCGTCTCTGTTGTGCTTGCTTAATTTTTAAAATCAATGTTTTGTGTTGAAAAGTTGATTCCTTCATAAAACTAAGAATAAGCTGACTTGATATCTTACCAGTGAGCCAGAAGCTGCAGTGTGCGTCCTGTCCCAGGCATATTCTTTACTTGGTGACAGTATGACCTCTGATTGGCCCTAAACTGCCTGGGATTTATTTACCGGGATATTCTTAACCTCATGTCATTCATCATGCCTGAACCCAACTAACAAATTCAACAAGGTATAACCATTCATTTTATGTATGTATGTACAGCAGGACCACTGCAGTAACAACCACCATCAGGTATAACCATCAGGTATAACCGCCAGCCACAGAAACCTGCTGGGGAGAGAAAGCACAACAAAAAATTCAGGAAAGAAGCCTGTAGCATTAGTTTATCATGACAGTAATGCTAATGTTACCAATAATAATAGCATGATACAGGCATGAAAATCCCTCACCTTTTGGCGAAATTCGCCGTTTTGAAACCAAAACAGGTGACCTACGTCAATCGTGTAGATTCGATGAAATTTTTTTTGGGGGGGGGGGGGGGGTATTCATATATAGTGAACTGCGAACAGGTGCGCGTGTCAGAAGGGATCGTGAGATTCAATGAATTGCGAACAGGGTGAGTGATGGTTTTAATATTTTCTGAGTTATATCCCAGTTAAGTTACCCAGGAGCTTTGTTGACATAGACTTAGCTAATGTTAGCTACAGCTTGATGAATTGAGTCATTTAACACAGCAGGAGAGAACGCGACGTTGGCCAGCTAGCTAAAGCTCCGGTGGAAAATGATTAGCTAACGCTACCGTTTTTGAGGAGGTAGATTTTGAGGTGAGGGGACTGACGAGGCACAAGGTAAAGTGGTCCACCGTCCTATCAATAAGCAGACCTGCCAACCTGATACACATTTGACTTCAAACTACGATGAACGAATCATTGACCCGAAGACACGGTCGGGAGGTGAATTTATCTTACCCCCCCGTCAACAAATGACTCGAAGAAATCGCTGGGACAAAACCAGTTGAAAACCCCTACCCGAGAGGGGTAATATCCTTCTCACCTTTTTCACCCTTGACCCGTTTTCATGCCTGATGATAGTAATAGCAGCAACAGGTGTAAGCAGGGCGATGGCAGGACCAGGGTACAGATAGAACCATGATCCATGGTAATCTGTGAGCAAATGTGGCACAAGTCTTTACCTGAATAATATGTCCTCTGGTATGTGTTGACAGGAGGATTACTTTCAGACTACGAGGCCTTTTCACCAATTGGCTCTTCATCTTGTAAAGAGACTTGAGGTTTATTAAATGAGTTTCTGTTTGGACCTGGACCTAACTCCAGATGGAGTGAATGTACCACACTGTATGACTAAGCAGTACTCCACCCAATTCACCCCTCAGTATGAGTATCAGCAGCCTCTTGCTATGAATTCCTCTTTATTTCTTACTTATTTCTAGCTTGTCATGTGTTTGTATTATGGCCGTCACCATGAACACGTTCATTTATGCAATTAATGTGGCCATGGTTAATGCGTTAAATATTTGAACGCAGTTAACGCAACTTTGTTTACTTTCACTCTTCCGGAAGTAAACAAAATTGCATTTGAAGTAAAACAAACAGAGGCACAAGATACAGCAGAGAACTTTGCAGAGGAATTGCTCCACATGTCAAACAGAAGGGGGGTGAGCTATGCTAAGCTAGCCTAACGTTACCCTGCGCGGCACACAGTCTGCAGAGGACCACCACGGTGTGACTAAACACAGCCGTCCAATGATGGAGAGACACACACACAGCAGGAAGAGGTGCTAGTTCAACATGTTCCACATGGTGGAATTCTGCCTCCAAGATGATCAAATGTGTGTAGTTTTGTGTTTTAAAATAACATAAACAATTCGACCACAGTGTCTTAAATACACGCTTTCTAAAGTGATTACTCATTACTTGTAAGATTTACATCTTACATTCATTAACAACAACATTGAATCCAAAATGTTCAATAATCGCAATCAATGAATTTCAAATTGTGCAATTAATTAGTGATTTTTTTCTATCGATTGCCCTAGTTTGTATATTTACCCATCCTGTTAACACTCAAAGGGATTTTTGAAACAATGTGTCATGTGCTAAAAAATGGATAAAGAACAGGTCCCTGGAGACTCAACACAAGCGTCTCTCATCTCTCTGTTGTCCAGATGCTCTCTTTGTTGTTTCTATGTATACGTAGATACAAGATACGGCTTATGAGGTACCCTGCAGAGTGGCTAGTACTGTGCTGACCAGTATGAATGACCCAAATAACCTGATATGGAGAGGGCAGAAAATAGCAGCCACAGCTTTGGGTTGAGTGCCTCTGCACATGAAGGCATGGAATCCCAAAGAGTTCAATGTACTTCACCAGTGATTCTAGTCTACATATTAGGGGAAATATTGTGCTGTAAACTTCAACACATTTGTTTGGCAATAGTAGTTAAAAGTTGGGCAGCTTTGCAGATTGTCAATCTTAATAAAATATTGAATTCAGCTAATAAACTAATCTTGTATTAAGTCATATTTATGGTTGAGTATGTAAAGCAGATTACCAGCTGCAACATTAGTCATTAACTCATCAATGCAGGAATAACCAGAGCGTTGCTGTAGCTCAGTGGGTCCTTGAGCAGACATTCATGATAGAACTTTTTCCTTTTTCCTCAGTGTGCCTTCTTGGTTTGGTGCATGGCTCCGATGTCCTCCAACGGATCAATCCAGATTTATACCCGCATCATTCGACCCTTTTTCCTGAGGAATGAAACCAGGATTGATGATGCGGTGAAGACACTCCAGGATAAGGCATCAGAAGCTGCTGACAAGATCAAAGATGAGGGTGAGTATTGTTGGTATTGTTTACATTACATTACATGTCATTTAGCGGACACTTTTATCCAAAGCGACGTACAATAACTGCATTCAACCATAGGGTACAAACTAAGGAGAACTAGAAACAAGAAAGTGCAATTTCCTCAAATAAGCCAATTTACAATTTGCTATAGATGAGTGACGTTACAAGTACAATTTAAGTGCTACAATTTGTTAGTCTTTAGTCGAAGTACAGTCTGAAGAGGTGTGTCTTTAGTTTGCGGCGGAAGATGTGAAGGCTCTCTGCGGTCCTGGTGTCTTCAGAGAGCTCGTTCCACCATTTCGGCGCAAGGACAGCAAAGAGTCGTGATCTAGTCGAGTGTTTTGCTCTCAGTGTTTACTGTAGAGAAGAAGAGAACATCAACAAAGAAAAAGAACGTCTTTTTTATTTATCTTTTAGAAAATGGAGAAAAATCATATATCAGCCATATATACTTTATTTGAAGACACTATTTGAAGTTGAAAGCAAATGCAGGCGGAGGGCTCAATTTTGGCACTTGTCATGTTGTGTATGTTGCAAATGTTCTTGTTCTGGAGGTGCAACCAGTCATAAAAGTCACAGACTGGTTCAGCCCAAGAGGAAAAAAGGAAACAAATGTGACTTTTAGAAATCCTTCACCATGTTTTTTCCCGCTAGTACTAATTGACTGATGATCGGTATCGGCAGATACAGAACTCGTTGGTGTTTGATTATGGCAGCTGGTCCAGAATATATTTTTTTATTACCACTCTCCAAAAATCCTTTCAACTGCTCTGAAGTTGGTAAACTACTTGAGTAAACTCTAAATGTTAATTGTACTCTTTTTATTTTATTTATAGAGGGGTTTTCCTGTTTTTTAAATACAGAATTCAAATGATTAGAAAATGAAAGTTTGTTCATGAATTAAAATAAATGTTGTCATGAGTGATTTAATGATGTATTATAATCTGCTGCTCATCTCTAGTATTAATTTGTTGTGAAATCTCCTTTAAACAACTGGATCTCTTTTATTCTCTTCTATTTATTAGAGATGGTCAACACATTTTACAAGATCATGAGAACGTCCTAATTTAGCTACGTTACGTAGCTCTGTTTAGCTACACTTATTTTCACTGAACAGGGGCCTTAACACATTACAATGTAACCAAGCTGTGACGTTAGCTGTGCTCTCCTAGCGAGAGTTGTTTAAACCATATTTATTTCACATGGTGATGACATTAAACTGTAATTCCAGGTTTAGCATGTAGATAGCAAATTCTGAATTACTGACCTAGACTTCCAAAAGGAAATCATCTTTATCTAAAATCCATTTTTATTCGAGACAAAATTACATCTTTCTTCTCAAAATATTATTATATTTGTGTGTGTGTTTTGTCCACAGCCAAAAGAGCCACAGCAAACATCATGTTTGAGGAGAAGAAGAGCTCTTAAGGAGGCTTCCTGTCAACAGCGTCACTTTGTTCCTGACAAGACGTTCAAAAACCTTTAAACCTTTGTGTTCGGTACATAATCTTCACCCAACCTGTAATAGACATGTCCCTTGCACAGCGATGACCTTATGAACCAAATAAAAACCAACCTGCTGAAGTGGTTTCTTGTGTGCTTCATCAACAACTTTTAAGAAAGGCTAAATACCTGCCGAGAACAATAGTGTGAAAGACATTTTTTCAGGTAGACCGTCTTAAATCTTTATTTAGTACAAAACAAGTAAGGTGATTTACACCTTTTTCCAAGGGGAGCATTTCATACTTTGGAATTTAAGGCATTTTTCATTAAATGCCGTACTGCAAGATTATTTTGACTTTGTAATCATTCACCACACATTTTAGAGCAACCTGTCAACCATACTGAGAGGAGAAAAGAAAGATGACACATAAGCCATTCAATCACTGCAGCACTGTATCGTGTACGTAGTGAGTTAGGGACGTAAGTATTTGGATTGAGTGTGAAGGTCCTGAGAGGCAGTACAGAGACTCGAGTGCAAAACAACAGCAGAGACCAGTGCCCCGTTCCTCGTACGTGGATAACTGAGATAGCTGGATAATTCTCAGGATAAAATTACGTAAAACTTGAACCTGCTCCGGTTCAGGATCATTTGAGCCAGCTGGATTAGTTTGCCGCTCCCCCGGAAAAAAGGGCGCTCTTTTACTCATTGATGAAGGAGCGATATCAGTTAGATTAACGTTTTATAGTTCAAGATAATAAATGTTGGAAATGTATTAAAAAATTTGACACTTTTCTACATGCTATGTGCGAATGTTCCAAAGTGGCGCCTTTCTGGATGGCGGTTGTATTTAGAAATGTGGCCGTTCCCAGTATCCCCTGGGCTCTGGTTACATTACATTACATTACATGTCATTTAGCGGACGCTTTTATCCAAAGCAACGTACAATAAGTGCATTCAACCATAGAGAGAGGCGGCTCTAGCAGTGTGGAGTTGCTCTGAGACAGCAAGGAGAGCAGTCTCTGTGGAGTGGCCTGCCTTGAAACCTGACTGGTGGGGGTCAAGGAGGTTGTTACAGTGGAGATAAGAGGAGAGTTGATTAAAGATAGCACGTTCAAGGGTTTTGGGCAAAAAGGGAAGAAGAGAGACCGGTCTGTAGTTGTTTTCTTCAGAAGGGTTGAGGGTAGGTTTCTTCAGGAGGGGGTTGACTCTTGCCTCCTTCAGAGAATTGGGAAAACAGCCAGATAACAGAGCGTTGTTGATGAGACAGGTGAGGAACAGAAGAAGGTCAGTTACTGATGCCACCAGGGGTCTGTTTCAAGAAGCGGGTTTAGTGGAAACAGTTTGTTGACCCTGAGATGAGGGAAACTCTGGCTTGTCTGTTTCACAAAGTGAGGTAACTAAAGCTCAGGATCAGTCACCATGGTAACGGAACCTGCAGTGCTGTAGTGGTAAAATTAGAGATGGGTAAACAAAATGGGAACAAAGCGTTGCGACTCTGTAAGGCTGTCCTTGCACAGAGGAGCCATGAACCCCAGTACACGTGTTCTGGGGTTCATGGCTCCTCTGTGCTTCTCCTCTCTCTATTCGACCTGGTGTTTCTCCTCTCCCCGTGCTCTCTGCATCATTGCCTGTCCTATCACTGCCTGAAAAAATAAGTTGAATTTAAGAGTTGTGGGGCTGAGAACACCAGTTAAGCAGCCTGTCAATTACACTGACAACATAAGTTAAAGGAACACTCATGTACCTATGTCATCATAAATAGCCTATACAGCATATTTTTTTTCACATTGAGAACTGACTTGTTTTCTAGTCTATGTTTACAGTGTATTTCGCTTACAGGCTACTCTACAACTTTCATGACTTCAAATAATTGATTAAGCATATAGCCCTATTTAGTGAAGCAACAGTTTTGCTCCCCGCTCACGTTTTCTATGCGAGAGCAGGACATGCGGTCAGGGGAGGCAGAGCCTCACCTGTCATCAAGTAAAAAACTAATATATTTGACCTTGACTGCGAAAATGGAAGATTCTATAGCTAAACTAAAACATTTCACTTAGCATTTCTCTTAGCTATGTCTAACAGTCTTGCACATAATCTGTCGACAATTTTTCAATGAATTAGCCAAATCTGCAGCAATATGCGTGAGGATAATTACTCATTTTATTAGGCCTATTCAGATGGGACCGGGAAGGCTGGCTTGTTACCTGCATCATCGTATTTGAAAGCACGTTATTAATAGCGTTTGTCCCTGTCTTAATGCGATGTTGTGCAAACCGGTTTGTGAGGTAAAAAAGGTTGGGGACCACTGGGCTAATCCACAACGTGTATGTGTTTACATACCTCCTGGATCCTGATTGGTGTCGCTGCTGCAGCCGCAAGGCACTGATTGGATGGTCACAATACCATAATACAGCGCAGATGAAAATGATTCAGACTACGGCGTTTATATGTTCAACAATAGGAAACGTAGTCTTAGCTGTTTTAAAATTACCAAGTTTATTTTGGATTGTTCAAGGAATACAAGGCGCATGAACTTTGAGGTGCGTAAACGCCACTTAGAGGTGGGTAAACGCTATTTAGAGGTCCGTAAACGCTATTTCCAAAATTCCAGAGGTGCGTAAATGACGTTTACGTGCATTTACCCTGGCACAGCCCTGGGAGCCTGTGAACATCACAATCTGGTCGGGAGCAGGTTTTCTTCAATAAACCTGGATTTTCTTTCAGTCTCCTCCCTCTGACAGCAGCCCAGCCAATCACACAGCACAGATCACTGTTACGTTAAAGACTAAAGTGTTTTCTAGAACATGGCACGTCCTTTTCTGGACGATCCTGTTGATGAAGAAGCGGTTTTACTTCGCAGGGTGTTTAAATACGTCAGGAGAGAATAATGAGGCCCCGATTAGATATATTGTCATTTCCAGATGACTACTTATTTGAACGGTATTGTTTTTCTTCACAGTCCATCAAATATGTACAATATCAATGTCCCAGGTGACGGCGCCAACTAGACAAGACAAGGGCAGAATGTGGGAGGGGCGGCTGGGCGGGGAAACAGGGTCAAACAGCCAGGAAAGAGAGTATGGCTTCACATTCTTAGAGCCTGGGCAATAAGACTGGGAAAAGTTACATTTATTAAAAAAGAGGGCCCACCTGGCTTGACGGGGGATAAGTCTCTTAGCTGTCCTCAGATACTCCAGGTTTTTATGGTCCGTTCAAACCAGGAATGGGTGTTCCTTACCCTCCAGCCAGTGCCGCCACTCCTTCAGGGCTACTTCGACGGCTAGCAGTTCCCGGTCTCCAATATCATAGTTCCTCTCCGCAGGTGAAAGGCTCCGGGAGGGGAAGGCGCAGGAATGCAGCTTGTTGTCCTTCTCGGATCTTTGGGAAAGTATCGCTCCCACTCCCACATCTGAGGCGTCAACCTCCACCACAAACTGCTGATTAGGATTCGGGAGGGTAAGTACCGGGGAAGTGGTGAATGCTTTCTTGAGGTGTTGGAAAGCAGCGTCGGCAGCAGGGTTCCACTGGAACCTGACCACAGAAGAGGTTAGTGCATGCAGCGGGGCTGCTACTGAGCTAAAGTTCCGAATGAATCTCCTATAAAAATTAGCAAAACTCAAAAATCGTTGGACCACTTTACGGTTGCTGGGAGTGGGCCAGCCCGTGACTGCCTCCACCTTTCCCGGCTCCATTTGCACCTTGCCCTCCGACACAATGAACCCCAGGAATGAAAAACAGCTGGAGCGTTAGCCAGTCGGAAAGGTATCACCAGATACTCGTAATGCCCACTAGGAGTGTTGAAAGGAGTCTTCCATTCTTCCCCCTCCCTAATTCTGACCAGATGATAGGCATTTCGTAAATTGAGCTTAGTAAAGACCTTAGCACCTTGTAGCAGATCAAATGCTGATGAAATAAGGGGAAGGGGGTACCTGTTATTGACTGTGATGTTGTTCAATCCCCTGTAATCAATACAGGGCCGAAGGAGAAGAGTCTTGTCCTTCTTGTTGACAAAAAAAAAGGATGAAGGTCTTAGCAGGCCTGCCGCCAACAAGGAGGTTACGTAATCCTTCATAGCCTGTGTCTCAGGTGCAGACAGGGAATAGATTCTCCTAGGAGGAGAATATCCAGGGAGCAGATCAATGGACCAATCATTCTCCCGATGTGGAGGCAGAGAGGTGGCTTGGGCCTTATTAAATACCTCCTTAAGATCGTGGTAACATGCCGGTACCCTGGAAAGGTCCAGGTAGTCTGAATCCAATGGCGATGGGGCCTGAGGCGCAGGTGGTGGATCGGTTTGAGACGGCCTTGTGGAAAAGCATCTCGCTGAACTCTCCCTCCTCCACGCAATCCCTCTCCCCGAAGACCTGTCCATGTGGGGGTTGTGTTGAGACAGCCAGGGAAAGCCCAAAATGAGGGGGTGTTGAGAGGACTGGAACCGGTGGAAGCATATAGTCTCCGTGTGTTGGTCCGGAGAGGAGACGTGTGGTGAGTGACCCGGCAGAGTAAGCGCCCATCGAGAGCGCTAGCTTCCAGAGGTCTCGGGAGGGGATGCCTCTCTAATCCCAGTCTACGAGCCAATCCACTGTCCATCAGGTTGGCGTCCGAACCGGAATCCACCAACACGCTCTGGCTGAGAGAGGTGGTTAGAGAGGAGATGGAAACTCTGGGAAGGGCCCGAGGAGGACCTATGGACAGTGTGATACGGCTCACCAGTGACGTCCTCCTCACTGGTGAGCCTCATCTTTTAGTGGGCAGAGGGCGATGAGGTGGCCCCTTTGGCCACAGTAGATGCATCTACCGTCCCGTAGGCAACGCTGCCCTCTCCTCAGGGGTCAACCTGGTCCTCACAAGATGCATGGTCTCCTCGGCTGAGTGATGGGGGGCGGTGCGGTCGGGAGAAGTCTGGGGTCTAGCAGGTGGGTCGGTAGTGGGATTCCAGTGGGGTTCCAGTTGAGACCTGTGGCAGGTGTCCGAAGGGGTGGAGGGGGGGGGGGGGTGAGCGGGAGGTCGACGAGCTAAAAAGGCGGCTAGGTCTCTCTTTCCTAAACTCACCTAGACAACTCTCTAACCTTACCGCAAGGGGAGTTTAAGGCCTCAAGGCTCTCCGAGTCATCCCTCAATGCTAGCTCTTCCCTAACTG